GGCGGGCATTTCCAGCAAGGATTAAGAAAAGCCCCTTAGCCATTGACCTCATCCGGAAGAGGTTTACTCCTCAGTAGATCAGACTTGGACAATAAGAAATCCCCCCAGACACCACCAGCCAGACTGACCAAACGCAGGCCAGCACAATAAAGTACATGTGTTTATTGTCTCCACACGCCCACTTAAAGGAAAGGAGAGTAGTGACTGACTTTGGGGAGGCGAAAGCCTTTGGGCTTGATTAGAGATTCAATCCCCCCACAAAGGAGAGATTTTGAGGGCGGAGGGGAGAGAGCCAGAAGCGTATGCCTACTCGTCATCCTTTCTACTATTGCCTCTCTTGCCGGATGTGTTAAGGAAAACCTAGAGCCACTCTTGTTCTCTTTAAAAATAAAACCATTCCATTTCCTACAGACAAATTAGATTCACAATGATGCATTATAGGGATGTCAACTAGTCTGCGTGATGTTCAGTTTTTCCAAACCAAATTGTATTCCAGGCCAATAAACCATCTCTAATCGCTCATCATGGAAGGAAGAGAAGACTGGGGGTGGGGAGAGTCCCTGGAGCATGGCCCAGCCTTCAGAAACACAGCTCCAGTTCCCACCAGGAGGAAACACAGCTCTGTTGCCAGGACAATGCAAGAGCTACAGGCAGGGGGCTTTACACAGAGGGAGACTCTTTATGCTCAGAAAGTCAGTCCAGAAAGCGGACGGCAAACGCTTGAGCTTAATACGACAAAGGGAATGATTCAAAGGGCTTCTCACAAGTCTTCTAGGCGAAAGATGAGGTCTGGCTGGAGCCCCTTTGAGCACTATGGCTTGTTCTTGAAAGCGAAAAGAAAAGTATCCTGATGTTACTGATCTCTTCCCTCCAGGTTTAGGCTGACCTGAGTTACCTCTCCTTTGTAGGAGTGGAGCACGGCTGATCTGTTACCACAGCTTCTGAACTGGAGGCTATAACTGCCATCGCAGACACAGGCCTACCTGACAGTCACTTTAGAACATTAAAAGACGAGGCAGGAAAATTATCTCCAAAGTGAACTCTACCACGGCTGCATCCGAGGGTCAGGCAGGTGTTCACTGGCAGCCTCCCAAAGACGGAAGTTCTAAAGTAGCTAAAGAAGAAGTCTCATCTACAGCAGCGGCGAGTCTGTAGACACCCCTCTTTTCTCTTACCTTGGGTTTTGGAGAGAAAGTGGCTTCAGCAGATACAAATTAATTTCACTGACTGATAAGCTGGTTCATTTAAAGGATAGATTATTGGGGAGCATGTGTGTAGACACTGCAAAGATTCAGTGATAATGCCCAGATAGAATGGAGGCATCCTGAGAAAAGAGAACATCTCGATGAATTTTTCCATATGTATACAACTGCACAAGCACCTAGTTCAAGACACAGAACAATCCAGCACCAGAGAAGGTAATCTGGCCCTGTGCAATTAATACACCTAAAGGTAACCACCATTCTGGCATTTACCACCATTTCACATTCTTGGACTTCATTTAAATGGAATCATACAACACACACTCTTATGTCTGGCTTCTTCTGCATAATGTTTGTGAACATCATTCATGTTGCTGCATGCATTAGCAATTAGTTCTTTTCATTGCTGTGTAGTACTCCACTGCATGAATAAACCCAGAAGTTGTTGTCCATTCTACTGTTGATAGATATTTGGGTTATTTCCCAAATATCTCAGATGGACAACACTGTTGTGAACATTCTCATACATCTCTGACTTGCATATTCTTATCCTTTTTAATGTGGAAATTGAGACCCCCAAATTTACCAAACTGTAGGGCTGCAAATCCAGCAATTCTCTGCACAACACTTGCACACTTCCAAGAAGAAGGCAAAAGAACAGAGACTTGGATATTTTCTTAGTCATCAGTCTCGTAGTTTCAGGAAATCCCACTTTAAAAGTAGCTATTTTTCCCTTTGTTGAGTCCATCGTTTTTAGCAAAAATCAGAAGCAAAATATAAGAAACTAATTTCTACCTAATTGATTCCTAAAACAAATCTACTTTCTACCAACTTTAAGTCTTTTCCTGAGAAAACTGAACACAACGAATCATTTTAGACTCTAAAAATATGCACGTCTCATCCAAAAAAAAGAACGTTATGGGGGTTCGTGGGAAGGAAGATGGCTTAAACCCCTGTCTCCACAGCCAGCCCCTCCCCACCCCCCAGCACAGTGCTTGCTTTAAAGATTAGAGCATGATGATCCATGAACCTCACACCTGTGGGCCATCTCGCCATAGCCAAAGGGACGGTGAAACCAGTCTTTACCAATAGTTAGGTCTGTAGTGTGGAAGACCTGCAATCAAGTTATACAATAGACAAATGGTTTCTCACTCCAAACAAGAGGAAGCATACAACGATTTTAATAGGTTCAGAAAACAACTATAAGTCTACTAGACAACTGAACAACTAAAAATAGTCTTGATGATACTGAGACGTTCAATTAAACTCTCCTCTTCATATAAGTGGGTTTTCTAACCTGCCAATTACAGCTTTCCATTTTCTTCCTGGAATTATCAAGTAGACATCCCGTGGTTCTCACGCAACATGGTCCCTCGGGCCGTTTTCTCGCCAGCTCACAGTGCCCCCTGTGGCTCTGCTCTGTCCTGCTGTGCATGCCTTTACCTTTATCTGTTTTCACTCACGGCCCCCAAAAATTTAGCTTTCCACTACCACTGGCACAATTTCAGTATTTCCTGGCAGCCTTATTTACAGTGACAACTTTAAGAGAAGGCAGATTTCGATTTTATAGATTAACAATAAAACAAGATTTACAGAAAGTTCCCCAGACCACTGGGAGAATTACTGAGCCCACAGTAGCAACAGGACATCCCCAGGGGATTATGTTGGAGGGATCCATGGCAACAATCCCTATCACCTGGCATTAAATGTCCCCAAGTCCTACACATCCCCAACATCAGTTCTCTTTCAGGCAGAACAGGGGGTTACAGGTTTCCAGGCTGCTCACATATCACCTGGCATATCTCTCCAGCCAGCTCCCACCAGCACCACTGGCCACCCAGAGAAGTTAATAGGCCGAAAACTAGACTTGAGGAATCTGGGTTAAGAAGGGATAATAAAAAGAGTGAGGTGGGCAGAGTTTGGATCCACAGGTTCAGAACTCTCTTCCTGAGCATATCTGGATGCTGGAGGATTGTAGAGTTTTGTCCCAAAGGATGCTGAGAGGTGAGAGGGGAAAGGAAAAGATTTTAGGATGTTTTTCTTCTGGAATATCTGAACATAATGCCCCAAGCATCTACATACAGACAAATAAAACACTTCATATTAAACGATTTACAAAGAACAGACACTGTATAAAACACGGTGCTAGGCTCAGTGCAACAAAACGAACAAGAACTGAGCAAAGGTTGGGGTCCCAGGCACAGAGCTGGGGTAGGGGCAGGGACCTAGGGATGAGCCGGCAGAGGTGTGCGCACCTGCAGCTGTGTCTGAAGAGGTGGGTTAGTTAAAGGACTTTCCCACTTGTCCTCCCAGTCTACTCCCCAAAGCCTGTTAGTGCCCTCGGGTCCACCATTTCTCTGTCCTTTCTTGGGAAATCTTCCGACTTCCCAATGAATGCTTGTGGCTACTTTCAAGTGTGTTCAAGGTGAATGAACTTCAAGCCCCAAGCCTGAGAAAATTTAGGGGGCCAGAGCTGCTTAGTCCCAGGCCCAGACACAGGGCCTGCCAGTAATCAGGGAGGCCCCTGGGCCAGCTGCTTTGAGCTCAGAAGACCTACTACTCATTGGTGGTTGGTGGGTGGGGGGCAGGAGGTGTAGCTCCTTGTGCATCATAGATATCTTCCTCCCCAAGCGAGCTCAGCTCTGCCCTGAAACAAAGGCAGCACGGTGCCCTGTGGCATCCGCAGGTGGGTGGTGTGATGAGGCGGGAGGGGGGTCTTGATTAGGAGCAGAGGTGGCGCCTGCTCTGGAGTGTTCCTAAATTTCAGCGGGCATCAGACTCGGCGGGCATTCCCACTTCGGTCCTCAGGCTACTAACAGCTGGCCTGCCTGTCAGTCTCCACTTAGAAGGGCTGACCCTGGGTTGGACTCCGCACGGAAACGCGCACCTGACCCCGGACTCCACGGGCAGCACTCCGCAGGTGAGGGGGCAGGCGCCTAAACCGCCCGCGCTCCCGGATTTCCAAGCCCCGCTGGGCTGGGCCGGCTGGCACAGCAGGCAGCCATGGCGCGGGGTCTCCAGCGACCCCTCCTGAGAGAAAACGCGGGGTCCCCCGCCCTCCAGCTGCTCCGGAGGCGGCTCCAGGAGAGACTCAACAAGTTTCCGGGCAGCGCAGCGCCGCCTGCAGCCCAGAAACCCCGCGGACGCGCGGCGGTGGATGCCCGCACGCAAGCGGCAGCCGCCGGCGGCTCCTTCCACCTCCTCCTCTAGCTCGGGCTCGGGCGTCGGCGGGCGGGGGCTCCTCACTCCCTCCCGCTCCACTCCCTCCAGATCGCCC